GGGTTTTGTGGGGTTTTTTTTTTTTTTTTTTGAAAGAGCTAGACATTCCTCACAAGTAACAATTTCTTTACTTCCATGCTGTACTGAAAGAGTAATAGTGGATCAAAGACAGGATTATCTGTAAGCAGGTTACGCCTAAAGAGTTACTCGAGAACAGATCAAGATGTTTTTGATCTACTGGATTACAACCCTTTTCGGACAGATGAGCGCGGTGCGGGACTTGAGTCAGGGAATACACAAGAATGCCTCCGTCTCCCTCGCCTGTAAACATGATACGCTCTTACTGCTGCTAAACTTTCCAACCTTCCTGTTGCTTTATTAAATATAAAATCGGGAACGTTCTCTTGAAGGCAGGATGTCCTTCAGTGCAATCTGCTTTGACATAAGGCATTTTTTTGGGGGGGGGGCAGTCATTTCAGAATGGGTTTCTGCCTTCTGGAAGAGTCAAAGAGTTCAGTCCTGTATCCACCTTTTTTTTTTTTTCTTTTAATGCCCTACCATGTCAAAATCCTCTTCCCTTCTGGTCGCTCCTCTGTTGCTCAGAAAACCATCAGTGTCCAAGTAAACCAGTCCCTGAGGAGAAAAAAAGACAATCACCAAAAGATGATGACGCTTACGGGATGGAGACGAAGTTAGCATGGGCTTAAATAAAGGCGGGGGGGACGGACCCCAGACTCACCTTTAAATCCTTCTTCAGGCATACAAACTGAGGATGGAAAGAAAAAGGCACAGGGTTAGAAGTCTCCCGACAAGTCGTTTCTAAAGGGATCTTTTGTTGGAGTGGTGGCGTACCACTGAATCTCCCATTGACAGTGACAGGAAAGATTCAACATCTCTATTTTCTACCTTTATAACCCAAACCCAACACAATCCTTGGCCACCAACACATCTCCCAAAATCACAGTGGTGAGGTGCCTTCCCTGAACCCCAAAACCTTCCAGGGTCCCCCCCGCCTCACCTTGCATAACGTCATCCATCGCTGCGTAATCTGCAATTGGTTCATCAGCCTGGAAAATAAAGTGGAGCAGGGGATTAACGAACAAGCCACCTCATTTGGAAGTTCACAGCCCGATCAGTTCATGGTGCTGCTCTGGAGGGGAGCGGGGAACAGGTCTCTTGCCCAAACACTGTCTGGGAACAAGAGGGGAGGACTTGCTCCATACTTTAGCCATATTTTGGGCTAGTAGGCATCCAGCTCAGCAGCAAAGACCAGATAATAAAAGCTCCTTTAAAAAAAAAAAAAGAGGATTTTCCTCCTCCAAGAAGGAGCTTCAGGAGGAACTCATTAAATTAGGCTACCGAGCACCCACGGGTGGGCATATCTAGTGCACGGCAGTTTTGACATGCACCACAACATGTTTTTCTTTGCTTGTACAAAAATCAGTTCAATTCTCTGCTTTATTCAACTTCCTTTCAGCAGCCAGACTCTCACATTACCTTTAATAAAATGACGGACTCAGGGATGACTCCCAGACTGCCAAGCGTTGCGGTGTCATCGCTCAGTATCTTCCCGTCGATCGACAAATTCTGGTCGAAGGGAGCAACTGAAAATGCATGCATGATCTGTGCCAACACAATGAGACACGCTGATTTTTTGCGGAGGGAAAAACATACCACTGAGCTACACAAAAATACCACGTTTAGAAGAGCAACACAGGCCTTTTGATGCCACATGGGATTTTATACTCTTCCCCTCCATCCCCTCCCCGCCACACGCTCCTCATTTTGTGTTTTCTTACTCGAGACGACTCATTCCTTGGAGGAAAAACACCTTACCTGTATTTTCAGTTCTTTCAGTGTCTGATTAGCAGAAACAAGCAGCGCTTTCTCCCCTCTGACTTTCCGGTGCCGGGTGCTTCGCCTGATGCCTTGCTTTTGGTAAGTGATGTAGCTCTGGTGCGAGATCTTCTGGCGCTTCGCACCACCGTTAGTCTAGAAACAAGAGGCAAAAATCAGGAGCCCAAGTTTGGGATTGGTGGAAAATACAACCTCCCCTTACCCTGGACTGTGTTTCGGGCAAGTCGGTCATGCGAGGGAAGGCACAAAGTGCTGAAAAGTCCCTTCAAAAGCAAACCACCGCATGCAAGTACCAAGAGGACCAAAGGACTTTGCTTGAAACCTCGGTTCCTGCTTCTAATGCTAGTGTGGGGCGGGTTACCAGCCAAGCGTAGGAGTCACCATCAATATTTGATCTCTCCAAAAACAAAGGGATGGTGTGGTATGACCATTAAAATAATTTAAGACACTGTTGGTTTTGCCTGCTAGTGGCAAATGGAGGAGGAGGGCTATCCCATCACGCTGACTCAAGAAGATGATGCAAAAACCAAGGAACCTGGTGGTATTTTTGATCTCTACCTGGTTAAAATCTGGGTCTTGCTCCCCCTCTGGCTTGTTTTCCTCCCTTTCCTCTTCAGCTTCGGAGCTGCTCACGTTCAGCTCTGGAGCAGCGTCCTTCATTACCTGAAGTCATAAAAATCATTCTCCATAACTAACCCAACAGCATCAACCCACACTGTCACATCATGGCAAACAGCTTGCAGAGACTTCCAGGATGCCACCTTGATCCAATGAACCGAGGCAGAGCAGGAACAACCCAGGGATCTGCTCCACATGCTCTGCAAAGTCTTCTCCGCCCCTCCCCAGCTGCACTGAACCATGGGGGGATTCGGCTCAGGAGAACAAGCTTCTCTATTGAATTGCAGGTGCTTCCTGCAGCTCAGGACCTACCCTCCTCTCTAGGCAAAGGGAAAGTCTCCAGGGGCCTGGACTGATTTCTTTCCCATTAGCTGGCTGCTTCTCTGGTTCATCTAAGTGTATTACGAAAGCCCTAACACAGAGAAAGGAATATTATCTGTAAATTAGACACTTAGCCATCCCCACAGCAGACCAACAGAGGCACTCAGCACCATTATTTATGGGTCTGGAGGTTGTAAGTAAATGAAATCTAAATAATTTACACAAACATATAAATAAAAAGGATGTTCAGTTCTGTATAAGTCACTCCAGGAGGCACGGATCTGCCGGACTTGAATTCAAATCTATGCTTCAGCTGGAGCTGGGGTTTGCAAGAGCCCAGGAGACTGGTGCGCTCTCCATCCTGGATGCCCGACAGCTCGCTTCTCCGTCAATGTTATTTGCAATTAACAATACAATCCCAGCTTCCAAACATCCAGCACCAACCGCAGCCTCCCCAGAGCCCTCCGGATTCCAGCAGTGCTGCCCTACGCTGATTTTATATGGCCATGGCTTCCCTCTTGCAGTGTCAGCTGGAGGAGGTACCCTGGGGTTGCAGAGTGGGGGAAGAGCAGGGGCGAGGGAACGGGAAACACTCCCTGGCTTTGCAAATCAAAACTGGTGGGGAAGGAAGCAGTAGCTTCGAGTGTCACCGTCTGCAATCCTCGCGGGCAGTGCTGCCGCGCTGCTGGCAAGCATTATTGCTGCTTTGCATCTTGCTGAGGCTGCCCTGTTAATGAGGGATCTTGCAGGCAAGCTCTCGCCTCCTCTCTCCAACTCCAGCTGCTCGGCAAAGAATAGCTGCCTGTTTTTTGCCAGCCCCACGTGTGAGCAGAGTCCTGTCCAGCCCCAGAAAAAAACCCACCACCCTCCTCTGCACCAGAGCCAAGATACAGCCTCGAGATTCAGCCTCCAGACAGGCTGATATCCCCTAGCTGATGGTTCTCTTGAGCAGCCACTGTGCTGCATGCTCTCCATCTCACAACCAAGGCAGAAACCCATCCAGCCTCCAGAACCCTGCAGTTCTCCAGGCTTCAGTTCCTCCCTTAGATTGACAGGGACGTGGAAATCAATGAGAGGTAAAAAAACCCAAACCACCCATGCTGCAAAGGTGCAGGCAACATCTTTATCTGAGCTTGCCCATGAGCCTTGGTTTCCCCCTTAAAGCATAAAACAAGCCCTAAGGAAGAAGACTTACTGTAACCAGCTTTTGGGTACCTGTAAAGCCAGTTCTAGTCTGATACTGATCCCTTAAGGCACCAGTAAAGCAGAGACATAATTCACAGCTTTGTAGGGGATCCTGAAAACCATCTCTAAGTTCACTGCTATTTCATCAGCACAGAGTTAAGACCTTATTTCTATCTAAGAATAAATGTCACTTGAGCAAACAAGAAAGGAAATGACAAATATTGGACACAGAGGAGAACAGGTAGAGCCTGATAACACAATTATGAATACAGAAATGGTTACAACATTGCCTAAAATAATCAAAGCTGGGAACAGCCATGAAGATACCTGATAACACAAAGGATTTGGTTTGGCAAAAGGAAGCTTCGAGGAGACCAAATTTTCAGAGCGCCTCCAGTGAGAATTTTCCCATTTGCTCTTTTCGCCAAAGCGATAGCTTCTGTGAGCTGCAGAGCTGGGTGTGTTTTGCCTGCAGAGAGCAGCCCTGCCCACCACTACAGGCCACCCAGCATCCCCACCAGCAGGTCCCAATCCTGCCGGGACGCGGGAGGCTGTGATAGCCGTCTCGCCACCGTGTTCAGATCGTTATTTGGGTACTTGTTGCAGTTTCTGTTAAATGAAACTGAGCCAGGATGAGCAAGGACCGAGGGAGAGAGCCCGTACCTTTTTATTATCCACCACTTTATGGATGTAGATGGTTGCTTGTGTGTACTCACGCAAGTCACGCTGCTGTTGGCATAACAGCCCTTCTCTGCACTCTGGACAGAGTTCTGGGGAGGCACAAAGGAAAAATGCACTTAATTGCTTCAGCTCCTTGGAGACACCTGCCCAATGCCTCTCACCGCTAACCTGGAGTGGATCACATAACCACGGGCATCTGCCAAGCTCCCTGTTTACCACTGATCCCCTTAGATCTGACCCTTTATCCAAAAAAGGAGCCATTTCCCAGGGAGTGGGCACCAATTAGCAAAAGAATAGAGTGCGGACAGTGGCAAAAGATTCACTCACGGGGCTCAGAGCCGTAAAGCGCACTCTCGGGGTCTGCCCCGGCAGCCTGCGTTCGGGTGATTTTGATGACGTGATCCACGACGAAGAGTTTTTGAATCCTCTCCCACTCGCTGGGCCATATTAGAGCTATACTGTGCAAAGGAACAAGAACGCGCTTTATGACATGGAAAAGCCAAGCTCTGAGCTCCTGAACAGCCTCCCCTTTTCTTAGTCTGTTAATGAAAGAAAAGCTGCAAAACCAATCCATAACTCCAGCTACATGGGAGGGCCTGTACGCCCAAGATAACAGGGAAACAGGAGCGTGTCATTAGTGACGCTGTTCTGCTCCAGTCATGCCGGAGGGAGGATGGAGGAGGAGAGGAGTAGAAGATCTGCTACTTTTAGTTCTGCATCATTGCAGAAGAAATGCTACGGAGCATGAACTCCAGCCCAGTGTCCAGTGCTCCAGGGGCAACTCTCACAGAAAGAAAACGGTAAGGAAGCCGGATGTTTCTATGCCCCGGTCAAGTTCAGGGTAGTTTATTGTTAGGAACTAGCCAAGCTGAAGTAAGCTCTCTTTTTTCCTGACCCAGCATCCTTTGACAATTTAGGTCTTGCCTCACATGAAGGCTAAGGTGAGCCTAAGAAAGCATCTATGTTAATTTTGTTCAAGGGAAAGCATTTGCTCCTCGTGTTGCTGCAGCTCAGCAAGCCTCCGGGAACGTTCCCAGAGGCACGTGAGAGACAAAGGCACCTGGCAGAGGCAGATGCGTGAAGAGAAGAAACTCACAGTTTGGAGTCGTCTTTGGTCATGGAAGCGTAGGTGAACATGAGGCCCCCGTGGGGGCAGAGAAGAGCGCTGTTTCCTACCGAGGACACAGGGCTGCATCGCGTTGGCCTCCTGCGCAGGCAAAGGAAAGCGGTTTGCAAAGCTTGGTCAGGTTATTTCATAAAAACCACAACTCTGCAGGCAGCCAAGAAGAAATCACAGGTGAATATTTACAGAAGGCATTCCAACAGGGAATATTAAGCTACTACCAATGAGGAAATCAGATCTGCGTTCCTGCATGTTGCAAAATTACTCTCCTATCTAGCAGAGATTTCCATCTCCTACCACCAGCAGCCCGTGGAAACAGGATTGAGCGGTGACCTTTGCCTAGGATACAGCTCCAGACAGATGAAAAAACTAATCAGGTTACTATCTAATCCGACCATCTGGTTAAGACACGGTAAACAAGGAAATTCAGTTTCTTACAATGTATTACAACTGATATGAGTCCTGCAAAAATCAGCTTCCTTGTTTCCACAAAGGCAAACTGCAGGTAACTATACACTGCACTGGGACTCAAAAGCAAAATCATTATCTACAGCCGCCCCAAAAAGCAATAAAAAGCACCAAAAACCTCAGGCCAAGTTACCTGACAAATTTCCTCCATTCTTCTACAAAGAACTGCGAAACAATATACAGCTCATCTGTCTCCTGGAGGTGAAAAAAAGAAAAACAAAAAGGATCGTTTTAAATTAATCCAACAATAGAGAAGCAATGACTGTTCAGCTTTTTCTGCAGTGCTTATTCTCTTCGAGACCTCAGCGTTTTTACCATGACAACTCCATCCAAGCGTGCTGGGAAAGCCAAGTAAAATAATTTGGGATCAAGTACTAAGCACTTACATTACTAATCTCGTGTTTATTACAAAGTTAGTTTATCTTTAGATCCCGTTACCTTTAAGTCATAGCAGGAAACGGCCATTTCCCTGGAGCAGCTAAGACTCCCCAGCACTGTGTTTTCTCTCGCTGGGTACTCGGGGTCTAAGGCAGATGTGTCTTTGCACCCCCACGGGTGTGGGGTGAGATCACCCCAACCTGCCTCACTTGCTCCACCCATCAAAATCCAAAAGTTTCTCCTTTTGGCAGCAGCACGGATTCAAAAATATGGCCACGCACCCCCATGAGGCAGAGGTTTTAGAAGAAACCGTTGTTTTCCTGTCCTAACTGATCTGCCATTATATAGTCTGCTCCTGGACAAGAAACCACTAAGATCCTAAGAGCTGGGTGACAAAATCATTTCCATGCTCACCTAGCCTCACCACCTTCCCTAATTCAGATTTAAGGGCTCACTCCATCTTGCTGCAGGAAAATTCAGCACACCTGAGGAATATACATATTTTTAAAATCTCCCTTCATCTCCTCTCGATTAAACCGCTCCACTTATTTTCTTCCCCAAACCTCAACTGTTTGGTATCAGGAAAACTCAAAAAGCTTGAGGAAAAGATCCTCGACTCTTTTATCAGGCTCCCTTGGGAAATTCAAAGACAGCGGAGGATGTAGCCTCGCTGCCTGGAGAGACCCTCATATTTCAAGCAGACCCATGGTGATGGGCTCCAACTTTCCATCACTTACTCCAGCTACCAAAGCAGACCCAACCTACTACCCTTAAATACTGCTGGTAGGGCCTGGCAGCTCTCCAGCTCAGCACAGACCGTTTCCCATTTAAATCCTTTTGGGGCTCCCCAGTTCTGAGACATGGATCTGTATTGACCTCGATATTTATTCATGGCTGGATAAGGCACCCGAGAGCGACAGGCTGCCCTCACACGTACGAGCGACCAAGGCAGACACCTGCCAAAGCAGCTTGGCAGGATCTAAGAGTCAATCACTAATCAGCGCCGCGAGACGTCCAGGAGCCAAGGCATGGAGCCAACAGCTTTTGCCATTTCTTTTGAGCTGCCTCGAAGCCCCAAGAAAGTCCTGGAGAGCTGCATGCTTGTACCGGGGAGAAGCCGGTACGAGAGGTCTTGCACGACCGTCACTCCTATTTGCAGGGCTTCAGCATTTAGGGAAGCTTCGCCTGAGCTCTCAGGACGTAGGAGGATGCTGGAGCACATGTAAATTTTGTCTGACCAGCAGCAATAGCCTGGCCTGCACGAGAAGGCAAACGGGGGGTGGTGGAAAGCTGCCTCCACTGGTACGGCCGCACCGTTTCGGTTCTTCTAGGGGCGGATGTAACCACAGCAGAAATATTGTCACTGCTTATCTAGCTGACTCCTGGCCAGCGACAGCTATGTTGGCACACGAGCCATTCTCGTGTGTCTTTAGCAGGGCTCTGCGCCAGCACAGCTAATCGGGGGAAATCACACCTCGGCACAACACACTTGTAAGCTCCGCTGGCACAGGCTTCCCAGTGCAGGCACAGTCTCACTTGGACTGAGTGAATGATTATCAGGCAGCCTCTCTTGCAGGTGAAATAAAATTTCTTAGAGAGAGGGATAAAAGCTAATAAAAACCTCTCCCAAGCCCTGCTACGTTCTCCTAGTTGCCCTCCTTCCCGTACCTGAGGCCAGCTGCCCAGGCAAGGTCTGCATTTATCGTGAAACAGGTTCTGGAGAGAAGTCTTCTGCTCACTGGCCATCATCTTATGCAGGGCTTCGTTTTCCTCCCCTTCGCGCTCCAAAATCTGCATGAAACAGTTAATTACACCACAGCTTCAGTTCCTAGCTGCTATTAAAGATGACATTACTTTCCTCCACTGCACTGGGTCATATCAAAAAGAAAACTAGAAATATGACCGTCTATTTACGGTCAACAAAAGGGTAATGTTATTTGGCATTCAAATACCTTGCACTGGGAACAGCACTCTTTGTTATTTGGGAATTCAGGGGCCTTTGGAAAATATTGCTTGAGTTTCTCCCAGGCTTCCTTCGAAACCACCCTCCGTTCATTTTCGGATATGCACAGGTCACCTGCAGAGAGAGAGCCAAGAGAAGGGCTTTGCTCTTGACGTGCTCAGCGATGTTTTGCAGCCCTAACTAGATTTAAGAGATTACAGGGTATAAATGTGGGGGAAGATATTCACGCACTTAACAGCCAACACCATGTCAGCAAGAAAGAGCGCAACTAATACACAAAGTCACCTTCAACTCCTTTATAATTTCCTTGTTTAGACAGGAAAAAAAATAATACGACTTTAATTCATATAAACGTCCTTTAGATTTCCAAGCTCATGAACCCAAGCAGCTGATCAAATACAATGGAAAAGCAAGGACAAGCCAAAGAGGGCACGGGACTACTGTTTTCTCATCTTGGCTATCCATAGCTGCATTTTTATGGTGACTCCATTTACCAAGCTGCAGACTAACTCCGTGCCCTATGAAACAGGAGCCAGGTGCTTTCCGCACCCTTGAAAAACAAAATTACTGCTGTATCATCTCAGGGCACACGAAGCCATCTATCCAAGCACCTCAAAATCTGGAAAGGACAGATTCTGCACTCTAGATCTGCTCTGGGGAATAACTGGGGTGTGAAGACCTGAAGCAAGATTTACCAGCTATCCCCCAGACAACTTGCCTGCTGTATTATTTATCCTCATGCTCAAGCAGCTCAAAAAAATCCCCAAGAACGGTTTAGTGCAAGGGAGTTGTCATTTTAGTGACAGCCATAGCAGAAAGGGCACGCTCATGCATTTGGACACCACGCGTGTGCATGACAACACGTGCTCTGGCGGACAAACAAGGCTTGGGAAAACTGAAGAAGGCAAGGGCTCAGGCATCCAACTAGCTGCCTGCTTGCAGGCTTGATGATTGCCAAGGGGAAAACACAACTTCATCTCCCTACAAGACAGCAGCTGGGAAGTCAAGGCATGGCTGTGCTACATGCAGTCGCAGTGAGAAATAAGAGGAACAGTTGGTGCTACACTGAGATGCAAGCCGGATTTGGATGCGGCATGGGAATATTCACGCCTCAATGTGGATTTCACCAGCGAGAGGGAAGCAAAACAGCAACTACGAAGTCATGGTGCTGAGCTGTGTCCAGCAAAGGGCACGATACCTTATTATCTGCTTTTCTATAGCCTGAAGAGCTACAGAAGGAAGACAGGGAGAAAAGGCTCCTTCCTCCCCACCCTCTGGTAGCTCTTTAACATTACAAGCAGCTCCTCAGGCCCACGAACCCGGCAGCTTTCCTTGCTCCAGCCAAGCCTGGATTTCTGCCAGCCCCAAAGGGAAAAAATAGCAACGCTCCCCTCCTGCTTTTCCTCTAATAAACAAAGGTCGGGCTGGACTGCTTTGCTGCAGCACTTGGCCACTTGCTCTTCATCAAATGCGACCAAGTGGCCCAGCTTTACCATATGCAGAGGCAGGACCAGGCTGCTTTCCAGAGCCAGCAAGGATGGGGGAAAAAACCCGAGCTTGTACAAATAAGTGCCTTGACACACTGCATGATTAATGAAAACAGATTAATACACTGTTGAGGGAGAGAGGTGGAAAAATCAGATCTGGGTGTGTGGGGAACAAGTGCTTTGCCATCTGGAAGAAGATGATCCTAACCACTGCTGACCCTGCTTCCCCCTCCCACTGTCCAAGGACATGTTTTGGGCACACACATCAAAAGAAGTCTTAACATGGTATCTGGAAAAAATTATTCACTGGGGTCGGGCAGCTACCAGAGAGCAAGAAATTACAGCAAACATGCAAAGGGACTTCTTAAGGGAACGCCCGGATGGCATTTCTGGAGGCCAGCCAGACCTCACAGATAAAAGTGCTGGCTTTTCCAGAGCCTACGATGAAGGCAGGAACTTCCTTCATGCCAAAATTAAGGCTGTAGGACTGAGACTACAGATTTGCTGATACACTCCCAGAGGGAAATTTTAAAGGTGGAAAGGTTGTTTTCTGACTGGAGGTTAGCTCAAGATGATGAAATCTGACCAGCCAGCAGTCCCCATATTTAAAATTATTCGCTCTGATATGACCCAAAGTCTCAGATCAACTAGCGATTTACCAGCATAATATTTTCAAAGGCCTGTTGGCCTATTTTTGTCATGTCTGGCTACATTAAATGTTTCATCACCACACTGCATGCTTTTATTTAACAGCAGCAGCCTCGTGGCAATGGGAAATACGGCGTTAAAGGCTCTGAAAAACAGCTAATGGCAGTGACAAATGACAAAGTGCTTAAACACTCTGCTTTAAAATGAGGCTTTATCAAGCCATTACTCCACATCCTTGATTAGCCTTGATGACAGGAGATGTGTTGCTAATTTATGGCATGTTTCTTTCTTACTAGGAACAAGATCAAGCATCCCTGGCAGGGAAATTGGTGCCTCCAAACAGGAGCTTACTAGAACAGTTGTGTCTGGGAGCAACATACAAGCTAAAAAAGTGAGATTTAAACAACGGGGTAGCCAAGGATGTAGCTAATGAACCATCACTTAGCAAAACAACTAACATCGGGTCAAAACCTTATGTAAATGGACACCAAAGCACAGCAGGTTGGTAAATCGATATCCTTAGCAGTCACAGCCACTGGCAGATAAGCCCATGTTTCTACAGTTGTTAGGTAAGTGCTCCTGTTTTAATGGATACTCTCAGCTTCTGCCTTGACTGATTTATACCACCTGTTTTCCTCCTAATACTTTCAGAGCTTCCAAGTGGCTGAAGATCCTTGGTGCTGCCCTCACCCCATCACGTTGCTTCACTAGCGAGATGAATGGATGCCCCCCTCTGCAGCCCAGCATCTAAGCATCTCTGCATTTACAACCCTTTCACTGCCTTACAAAACTTGGATTGCACTGTGATAGTGCTTGCAAATAAAACCTCAAAGTTTGAGTGTCAAGAAACACCAGGCAATGAGAATTAAACACATTTCCTCAGTAACTGCTCATGTTGGCCTTAGATGGATCAAAGGCTACAAGGTTAATGTCTTGAGCAGTGAGCAACAACAGATATATTCAGCTCCATCCCCCGTAGAGACTTACCATGGGGGCAAACAATGTCTTCATTAAAATTTAACTCCTCTTCCTCCTCTCTCTTCTCTTCATTTGATTCATCTAATTAAAAAAAAAAAAAAAAAAAAAAAATCAAACAAGAACACTGCACAGAGTTCCCCTCCAAAGGAAAGGAAAAATCTTTGGGGCAAAGGAGCATGGCTGCCTTTCAAATTGTGGCAAAACCCTTAACCCAAAGGAAATTTTGGAAGGAAATTTGTTATTCTCAAATGTCTTGGCCTCTGGGCAAGCGGGATTACAGCCTACAGGCCATGTAGGAGCGCTTTGAAGTGTGTGGAGCACAAGCCCATCCTTTGTGAGATTACAAAGGATGCATTTGTTACAGGCTAAAACACCACAGGGGTTCACTGCTCCCAAAGATCTTGGAGTTTAACCTAAACAGAAGTCTAGGTAAGAGCACAGGGAGCAGAAACCTTCCTGGCAAAACATTAGTCCTCTCTTCGCCTTGAGGATACTGATCTAAAACAGATGCTGCCTGACAAACTAAGGGGGGAGCCTGCCAAGGGTTTGACAAGCCCCACATTAACATATAAATTATAGTTAAGAATCCTAGCTCCATGGACAGAAGCGCTGGCCACTGAATTGGAGCATCATAAACACAATAATGTGTTTAACGACCTGCCTAACGAGCAAGTTGGCTTGTGAGTAATTCAAATGTACTACTGGGAGTTGTGACCTGTTGTGAAACCAAGGTCACCACTGAGGAATGACAAGTTCTCAGTGGAGAAGTACCCTTTTCTCGACGTAAGCTCCACCAACAGCGCCAGCTTATGGATATTATCAGGAGGGCTGTGGTGTTCCAGGAGCCTTCAAGCCCAAGATCAATGCCATTAGCCCATCATCTCCACTTTCATTCAAACAAGCTTCTTGCCCTTAGTTCTGAAACAAAAAGCTCAACAAAATATCCAGTTTCCAAAGGTTTAAAGAGCAGAAGCCAAATTAAAAAAACTCACAAACTCATGATATGGGCACAGAAGAGAGTTCAATTCATGATTTTTCTTCTAGGCTATGTTTTGCCAGTGCTGCTTTACCAGCTGTGCTGTTTCATCCATAGACGTTCACAATAAACATCTTCATCCCTTCCCCAAGGTAATTTTCATGTTTCTTTTTCCCCTGCGCTCTCTCATTCAGATAAAAGCAGATGAAAAGATCATGTGTCTGGGGCCGTAATTTTACACAGCTTTGCAAGACTACTTATTACCTCATCTTCTTCTCCATGTACAAAGATCACCCAGCAGTTTTGAAGCTTATCAAATAAAAAGCTCTTTAAATGAAGGAGCTTTTTATTTGATTTATTATCCTTCCCTCCCTACTCACACAAGGGAAGCAAAACAGCTACAGGAACACCTGACGTGTCTTTTGTTAGGAGGTATCGGTCGGAGCTGGTGGGTCTCTACAGCAGCAGAACTACCTTTGTTTTGTGCATTTCCATTCATTTTTCCATTACTGTGCTCTGTGTCTTCATCTTGTTCATTTAATTGCTCCAGAGCCAACTGACGCCAGCTCCGCAAGGACGCCTTTCCAACCCAAAACCCATCGTTCCTGCAGAGAGAGCATAGCGTTGGCAATGTGAATCACAACTCTGTTCTCCTTCGGAGCCCAAGCAGTAAAATCGTTAGGAAAAAGCTATTTAAGCACTTCTAAAAAAATCTCTGACAATGTTTGAAAGCATTGGGACTTACATACCCCTTGACTGTTATCTTCAGCAAGTTTGTAACAGTTTTGTAGTCTTCGTTTAACTGGTTTTTCAGTCGCAGGATTCGACACCTTTCTACCACGCAGTCCTTGCAAAGTGCTTTGACTGGGGGGGGGAGAGGGCAGAGAAAGAAACACAATTTATTGCACACATGGCTGAGCTTCTCACTGGTTTGAACATGCTCAGACAGGTATGTACCAACTACCCTGCCTCATGACCGAAGATTTCACATGTAAATGAGGAGATCTCTGGGGTTACTGCCACATCGTACCACATTTGAAGCTTAAATAAGCATAAAACGCTTCAGATGAGGTGCAATCTGTTCTGCCAGCTTCACAGCTTTCCGCCGCTGGTATCAACAGTTTGCAATTACAGCTGCAAGCCAGGTCACACCAACACACAGCCACACGAGTCAGAAGGCAGGACAGTTTAGGCATATGCAAGGAAAAAAAAAAAAAACCAACAAAAAACTATCATGGCACTTTACCAGTTAAACCCAGAAAAAAACCCAACCCTCCTGCAAAGCTACATTGGGCCAACAGGAATGGAAATCCTATAACCAGGCATATATTTTCATCTGGGAGCAAGCGGGTCGCATCCAAGGAAGCAAGTCGGAGAATGCAGTGCATCCGATCCATCCCTTCCAGCCGTACTCAACAAAAAAATCCTGCAGGCGATCTTCCAGTTGACTAATAAACGTTGGCCTGTTTTTTTTTTTACAAAGGCTGCCTGCGTCACAGCAGTTTCTGCTGGTTGCATTTCTTCCCTATAAGCTCCTAGCAGGAGCTGAGCTAATTTGGTCTCAGTGGGAGTTATTGAGCTCCTTTATAAAAGAAACTAAGCCTGGGGCTTGATTAAGGGATGCCCAAAGACTGTAGGGGCTAGGCTGACCCCAAAAATCAAAACGCATGACAGATGTGTGCAACACAAGCAAATAGGCTACCAGGTACATGCTTCCCTTGGGTGAGACAGCTCAGGACAGTCTAAAGGTGAAAGACAGTAACTAATTTTCTTGGCCCGTGCACATCCACGCTGCTCCAGAGCACAGGCTGCCGGCAAGAGGCAGCACAGATCCACATGCTCCACAAAATGCTGCCCACACAGGATCTGTAGGTGCTGCAGGCATGGAAAATAATTTTCAAAAGTCTGGGGGGCTGCATGTGCAAGTTTTGTTATTTTCTAGAATCAGCTCCATAAAACCTTCAAAGTATTATGTTTTCTAACCTAATGCACCATTGCTGTCTCAGAAATTCCTCCAAGCTCAACTCTTCCTAGACAGAGCAGAACTCAGGTATGAAACAGACCCTGCAATCAGACTAACTGTATGTTTGAATGCTAATGTAATTAAGTGATATTAAAAAAAACCACCCAGAAATAACAGCGCAGCACAAAAGCTATGCGCAGAAATAAAGTTACAATGATAAAGGATGGCTCAAAATGAGGCTGGGACCAGAACAAGGCTCTAAAACACGTTCAGCACATGAGAACATGACTTGGAGAGGGCATTGTCTAGCCCGACACCTTACCGTTCAGCCGGGGCCCTCCTCCGTATCTCCTGTAGAAGAAGTCAGCCACATACTCTGATATCCTTTTCATAATGGATATTTTATCTGGATGGAGTTTGCCATGTGAGCACAGGCAGGCTGTGTTATCTATAGGTTTTGGAGGAGTAGACTCATCCAGCCATTTCTGCAGCCATTCGAGAGAGATGAAGTCGTATGGGGAACCTAGAAGGAGAAAAAACACAAAAAGAAACAAGCCCGTACATCTCAGCTAATACACAATACAGCAGATGGTATTTTATAATTACTCTGATATTCAACGGTACTTTTAAAAATTAACAGGCTACCAGTGTTGATTAAACCTCTGCGGTACAAGTTTTCAAACATCCGATACAGCTTTCCCTGTCCAATTCTCATCTCTGTAACACACATTTAGAAGACAGGAGCTATGTGAAATTAAGATATGCAAGAACAAGTGGTCATTTCAAATTCAAGCAATCAATATAAAACAGTGGAGCACTCCAAGTAGGAAGGGGAGTGCTTTCAGACTGCTAAACCTTTAGGGGCTTATTGGACAGTAGTCAAGGAAAGGGGAAGGTTTTCCTATTGTCCATCGAGGGACAGATATAATACTTAAATTATGATCATACATTAAAGGCTCTTTCTATAACGAGCGAGCTCATCGGCATAAATTGAAAAATAAAAGGCAACAACAGCAAAGAGACAAGGTCAGTGTTCGCCCTGTCCCTTTGGCGCCCCAAATTTCTCTGTTATTCTGGGCTGCTCTTACAACTCCGGATGAGAAACACTCGCACATTTTAAGATTCACAGTACAAATGGAAACTTGTTCAGATTTTTTAGCGCGAGCATGATTTTTTTTTTGTTGTTAAATAGAGCAGCAGACTCGCCCTTGTTTGCTAAAGGAGAAACACCTCACACACAGCCAAGGTTCAGGAGCAGGTCAGCATCTGTGTGAGCAGCGAAATAGCTTTGAGTGAAACCCCTGCACCTTGCAACTGAGACCCAGTACTGCTGTGGAAACCCTTCTGCGAGATGACTGGGAAATTTGGAGGAAATTACACCCTTTCTGCTGATGCTAGGAAGGCAGCTCTGAAACTGAGCGGAAACATAGTTGTTAGTTACATTTATCAAATTAACACAAATCCTTAATGTTTCACATGAAGGAGCAACACAGAAGCTACAGGAAAATACTTTGCCTTCCAGCCTGCACTGGAGCTTTGCAAAGCCAGGCTTCAAAATCTCTTCTCCTCTGCAGCCTAAATCAGCAGTATTTTCATCTTACACAACGCCATCAGAGATACACAGCCATGACCTCCAGAGAATTGCAACGCTGTCAGAAATGGTTTGCTAGTTTGGGATGAAAGCTGCTTCCCCCGGAAAGTACGTTTTTCTGGGACAGGCTACACAAAGCTGGCAGAAAATGTGTCTGCACAGCTGCAGAGAGTCCCGAGCTCCTGTGGGATCGGACCCAGAACAGCTCTGGGATAACACTGCCTCCAGCTGTGCTAGCAAACTCCTGTGCCCAGGTGCCCAGCAGCAGGTAGTGGGTGCCCTCAGGGCAGTGCTTCAGGTCCTGCCATCTTCAAATTGGGGCAAAAGAGCTCTACCTGCACCTGCAAAAAAAATATCTTTTTGAGATTTATTCCTCTGTCATGTTAGAAATGCCAAGAGCGAGCTATTCTGTTTCTGCTAAGGGGGACAGAAAACACACTGGAGTTGTGCTTGCTGCTCCTTTTTAATGGTGACTCACGGCAGATTCATACCTCCACCGCAACTTTGATTTAACAGTGACATTTTAACACCACTCAGACTTGCGGGGACTTGGCAAGATAAGCTGCAACACCCTCCCGTTCGTGAGTTAAGCGCCCGTTGTCTGCAAACCCGACTTCATAAATTGAAGAGGCAGACATTTATGGGAGCTAAGGAGCCTGCTGTTCGGCTGCTTGAATCTTGCTGATGGTTCTGAGCATCGACCAATGAATATTAGAAGCTAAACATCAAATTGTCTAAGAGGCTACACAATTAAACACATTTTAAAGTCTTTAATTACAAATTTCCTGGAGATTTTAGGAGATGCACACAGTGGAGAGAAATCCTCCATGCTGAATGGACAGAGCAAGTGCCCCTATGTTTGTTTTGAGGGAGATAGGAGAGAAAAACAAGGGGGGGAATAAAAATCCTTGTGCTCAGACATGCTAAGGCGACAAGGCACAAGGAGTAGTAGGAAAGGATTAACCCCAGTCACTCATCAGACGGACTATGAAGCTTAGACATGGGGCTTGCACTGGCAGAGATGAATCAAATAATTTTCTGCTGGAGGTCAGGCATTCTTGTACCCTGTTACCTGCTGATTAATTCAGATCCACAGCTCCCAAACTTGCTGTGAGTTGGCAATTTGAGACCAGCCAGTTATTCTGCCTCAATGCTACTAACCGCTAACGAGACGAGCTGCTCATCGGGCAGAAGAAAACAGTCACAATGCATGGAAGCACACAGGAGACTGACTGATGGGGAAGGAGCAAGAGGGAATTAGCGATGCCAGAGGCCATGAGAATGAGCAAAAAAGGAGAAAAATAGGTTAAGGCAGAAAAACAAGAGAGGGAAAGCAAATCCTAAGCATGCACACAGCAACAATAGACAGTGATCGCTTTCCTCTTCAAGAGGGCTACAGCTAATGCCTTCCAGCGAAGCATTCAGGCCACAGAAGCGAGTTGTGGGTTAGCTATAAAACATTACTAATCTTAACAATGGTCTACTACAAAATACTACCACAATATCTTACAGACCAGCTTCAGCGGGTAACCTTTTGTAGAGCTCCTTCACCTCTTCGTGTTTGATTTTGCCTCTGGCCACGCTCTGTTTGCGCATCTCGGCCATTTCGTTGCACCACTCCTCAAACTTGCAGTTATCACGCTCTACCAGCTCCTGCAGAAAAGCTGTTGGGAAAGAAAAAAAAGCATTCATTTCAAGGAAAAATACCAATTACATTAATTATTCCTGCGATTGGTTATCTGGGGATAACAAGCAAGCCTAAAAATTCCCCTACACAGGTACCAACACGAGGTCTTTCCAAAAGCCAAGCACATGGACATTGCTCTCTCCAATGTTTATGGTTGTAGATGATTAAATGCAACTGTCCTGTGCAATACAACAGCGCCCAAGAAAATAATTTACTCGGAGTTGGTTGCTGTGTTAAGAGAAATCCTTTGCTTGCTAACAACCCTACACCAAGTGCTGGCAGTCGCACAAAGTGCAATGGTGTTTGGTGAGAGGCTGCAGAGCCGAAGCACTGCAGGACACTTTGCTGCCTGCTTCAATCCCTCCCTGCTATTCCTCTTGCTCCAGCCATTTCTCTGCCTCCCACCGAGAGCAGCTCCTCTCTGCTGCCAAGGACCCATCATTCCCAGGGGAGAAGCAAAAGCTTTTCACCCTACAGATACACTTGAAGCCTGTCCCGACGTGCAGCCCCACAAGTACGCATGATCTCAGCGAGAAGGGTCTAGCAGGCTGCAAACCCAAGGGCAAAAAGCCCTCAGGAGATGGGAGATAAGCCAGGGAAGATCCTGGTGTCAACAGAAAAGTGAGGGAAATGGGAAATGGGAATATTTGCTGTCGCTGGTGGAAAAAACCCAAACAAACCAAACCTCAGCAAGGGGAAAAAAGAAGATAAAACACTTCCCTCGCAGGGCTGGTGTAAGGCAGGGCAAAAGCACTGCTTATCTGAAGTCTTTTCCTATTTAGCAGTATTTTGAAGAGCTAAAATATTTCCAGAAAGGTTAACGCTTGTGCTGCCAGAGAGCACAATATCTGACTTGGGAGAATAGACAGTATTAAAAGACAACTAGCTTGATGCCCTCGAGGTCAGAGCCAAGTTACATCTCTCCACCGTCCTGGAAAAGCCGCTTTTAACAGCATCAAAGCAAAATGCCTCAAATTTACAGTTGCATGAAACCTCCCCACAACCGCACGGCTCGACTGCTGCCCTTCGCTCCCTGTTCCCTGGCAGGCTTCCATGTGAAACAAAGGCAACCGCGGGGCTGCGCAGGAATTTGGAGCTGGGTGGAGAGGCTTTTGCCGAGTTATTGTTTTGGGCAGAGGGGTAGGAGGAAAGGGAGCGCAAGAGAGCCAAGACTGAAAATGCAGATCTGAGGTAGGAATTAGCACTAACTCCCAAAGCTGTGTGGCTCAGAGGGTGGGTTTTAGTGGTGGTGGGGCTGGAAAAGGTTTGGTGCTGTTATTAGGGGAGAAAAAGCTGTACAATTTACCCCCTCCATATCCAGACATCCTGAACAAACAGCAGAGGTCCAAAGGGGATACGCCACCTCCGCTGTCCCCGCTTCACAGAAGAGGGAAGAAGGTAGAACACACCTCCATCCCCAACAGCACCAGGGGCCTAATTAATATTTCTAATCAAGTAGCACGCAAACATGAAGCATCATTAAATCCACAGGCCAAACCTACAGGGATTTCTGCCACCCCCAGTAATTCTAAAGCAAGACACGAACGCGCTCATACAAAACTCCTGTTAAGGTCTTGCATCCTCTTATTTTCATGCCGTTTATTCTCAATATGGCAAAGATTAAGCACTCACAGAAGAAACCTGACATCTGTCAGGATTATTCACCTCCACCACAGTACATGCACTGTCGATGACATTTAATCACGCTGTTCTCCTTTGCCTTCAGGAACCTGAGCGGTTCCTGCGGGATCCTGGCTGCGAATCCCAATGCTCCCGCTGCCGCACGCAGCTCCCAGCCAGATGATCTCCTCCTAACCCCTTCCCATCTCATCTCGCTGGTTAAGGTAGCGAGGTCTGAGCAGACACAGGGGTGGGATCATCAGGCTAATCTTAATTTAAGTGCTAGGAAAGCCCAGGGGTTTCACTGGTCATGACACTAAGTTGCCATATGGCACCTTTGGGGGCTCATGGACAGCGGTCACAAAAGGGGCTTCAAGCAAAACCCCGACTCCTGGCCCACCTGGAGCATCACAGGATGAGACGGAGAGGCCAAGAGAGTCAAAGCTCACTTACCTGGTACTTCGATTGTCAGAGATTTCTCCCGGGTTTGCAGCCTGTATACCAGCATGTAAGCATTGCGTGAGCAGTGAGTCCCTTTCCCGCACTTAGGTTTACGAGTCTGGGATTTAGAAGGTTCCGCTGTGGTACAGAAGGCAAAACATAATAAACACACAAGCTCACTTACTGACTCTCTGTTAACGGGACGAGTTTGCCACCTAGCCGGCTTCCCTCTCTCTGCTGCGCTCTGCCAGGCCTCTTTTTGCCAAGCACTGGGCTTGCCATGAGCCAAAAATTCTATCCCAAAGCAAGACCCAAATCCCTCTGGCATTTCTGGAGGCAGGGTAATTCAAAGGGACTAAAATTAGGAGTCTGCTCTGAACCACAATTCTGCACGAGCCTTTCTTCTCTCCCCAATTAAACCTCACTGAGCCAAAAGTAGCTCTTGCAAAAACATCCTTTCTCCCCTCTGCCTCTTGTTCTGGTGTCATGACACCAAAGAACAGAGACAAACCCTCAGAGAAAATCTTATTTACAGGTGATTATGTATGAAAAAACACATGCCCTTCTGTTGATCAACAAAGCTTTCAGGGAGGGAACAGCCACAGAAACAGTCAATTCAGAGCAGCTGGTGGTGCGATGTAAACTCGTGTTGCAAGAGTTGCCATTTCCAGACAGACTGCCAGGCAAGGAAAAAACACTTACCTACAGCTGCAGCTTCAAAAAAATCAACCAGGTTTTTTATTAAAAAAAATAAAGGAACAACCCTCCATGGATCAAACTCTAAATGGAACACTGAAATATTAAGGAAAGTGTGTGTCTTTCCAAAATTCTGGAAAAATTCACATGCCTCTCCCACCACACCATCCAGAGGACTTCCTAGACACTCTTTATTTGCATTTTCTCCAAATATTTTCTAAATTGTTCCCATCTGCGTGGCCAGGCCACAGGACTCTCCCCACAGCAGACCTCTGTTTTACGTTACCGACCTTCTCCTGGTGTTGCATGCATTTTTAACAAAGAAGAGTCTCAGTTTTGCTTGGAGTAGGCAAATAACATCAGCACTTGATAAAAAGTGCTTGATAAAAGACTCCCAGCCTGCAGAGGCTTCTAAACACACTTTACTTATATTCTTCAAGCAGCCTTGTATTTCAGCAAGAATACTTACTTCCGGTTAAGCATAAACCTTTACAAGACCAAGGCCACAGCAGATTATTTACATCTTATTTTGCTACACTGGGTAACTTGGGAGATTAAAAAGAAAGGCTGAGAAGTTCTTATTTCCTTTCAGGGCTTATTTTTCTATCTTACACCACTAGATGTCTAGCCAGCTTTACAATCTAGTTGCAACCAAGCAGCCGGCAAACATTAACAGGATGACAAAGCTGCTCCGGTGGCAGCCAGCGTTTATATACATCGTGATGAAACGCAAGAAAGTGTTTACTAGCAAGAGAGCTGAAAATAAAGCAGCATCACAAAGATGCATGCATGGAAGGAAATGGGAGAGGGAAGCTAATGCCCCATGACTGCTCGAGGGCATGCTCAGGCTGACATGGCTTTACAACAAACTAAGGGAGCAAATACATCTGAGGGTGTCTTTTCATTACTCTGTTACTTAAGGATCCTTTAAAGAAAGGCAACATTTCATAAAGTCCAATTGCAGCAAAGCATGAGCATCCTGGTGGGCTAGTGTTTCTTGGAATGGGTTGCTTGCACTGTAAGTGCAATTTCTGGCACTAACTTCCCCTTTTCCAGATACTGCAAAGCATCCTGTGCTAAGGAATGCTGAGTGACTGCAAAACTGAGCACTCAAAATGCCAATTTAATGCTGAACCACTCCTATATATTGACCCGCAGACCAAGAAACTTGCAGGTCCAGCCTCAGCCCAAGCTCTCCAATAAATCAAGACCCTGTGCTGTCCAGGGAAGATGGTTATCTGGGGCAGTACTGGGACACCGGCGCAAGGTGAGACAACAATGGTAAAACAGAAGAGTGCGAAGAACTAAAAAGTGCAAAGTAAACTGGCAGTTTTAGCTTCCAAGCCGTTATTTGGATCAAGAGTTTTTACGAAGACTCTTTATAGCCTCTAAGTAAAACACTTCGGTGGAAATAAAAACATAACGCGTTAAGGAAACTGAAAGTAATCTTGTTATCTGTTCCTAAGCCTCCTTTTGCACACTGGCCAAGGAAGTGGCAACTTGCCTGTTTCATCCCGATAGGCAACTGCTGCCTGAGTTATCAGCATCTTATCTGCCATGTGGCAGGCAAGAGAAATACTAGAGAAACCGATCACGAGGTGTGCATAAACACTCACACAGGGCTGAAATGAAGAAAATCTGGCTGCAATTAACAGAATTGCCGTTTCACACGTTACTCCCAAGCTGTGACAGCATGCGTAGGAGCACTTTTGTTTTAAGAGTAACAGGGCCTCCACATATTCAGCCTCCGTGTTTTTGGTGAAAAGAGTTATTTTAAAAGGGCACTCACAACTTAAAGGTTTTACCTAGATCTTCCTCAATCCCCAACTGCAGTTTCTTCCCCTCCATCTTTTCTATGTCTTCATCATTAAACTTGTACCACTCCCCCGTCTGTGGATCCTTCACATGGGCAATGTAGTGCCCGGAGTATGCGCTCACACCTCGGTGTATGAGGACAGCACTAAGTTCATACACGTAGACACCATCTGGAAGGGAAGCAGCAGTTACACAGTGCTCTAGATGAAACAGTGCAGATCTTTTCTTTCCAAGCGCTTAACGTTTTCGCAAGGCAGCAGACAAAGACTGCACTTGAACTTGAATCTCTCCAAGACCTCACTAAGTAGGTTGTGGCTTCCACAACCCACTTAGCAAGGCGGTTATTTGAAATGCAGGCTTCAAACAACTCTTGACGTAATTTTCCATCAAAAAGGGAATTCAGAGGAGATCTCCTCTCATCTGCCAAGGGGCAGTGGGTGAAGTTAACAAAACACAGTGCACAGAACTCACTTTTTTGTTCCATGAAAGGCTCCATGTCAAGCAGCTCAGAGAAGCCGATGTAGGTGTTCAGCTTTTTCTTATGGCCAGTTTGTCTGTACAGAGACAAAGCTTCGGTTCAGGGGACAGCAATAACAGTTCACAACTCAAAATAACTCCCCTTGAAACCCACCGAACATCCCCAGAGAAGCTTACGCACGCACTCAATCCTCAATCTCTCAAATTAATGCAGAAAGAGCAGAGCAGATGACTTCCCAAACAGCTTCCATGCAACCCAGGGTGCTCCCATTTCTACAGCATGCGCTCCAGTGAGAGGCTTACCTGTCAAACACGAAACGCATCAGCTGCAGGTTGAGTGTGCAGGGAAGACTTAGCAGCCTGATCTTCCTCGTGGCATTCTGCTTACTCTGACAAGTTTCGCAAAAATAACGATTGTCCCCTTCTAATTTTTCTTCCTAGCGGGGAGGGGAGGCAGAAAAAAAGGTCTTGAGAACAGGTGACCACTGAAAAGTCAACCAGTCCCAGCTACTCAACAGCTGGAGACTGAAAAACACCAAAGTTGTTTTAACCATTTAAGTCCCTACCAAGCTGCTTTCCAGAATCATCTCTTAGTTAAAAATGCATGCTAATAAATGCGCTTTACAGCATGGCCATAGTAGGCTGCTCTCACTTGAAGGAAAATTTCAGACTGAATCAAGCCCCATTCCTAGTTCTCAGGTCACTTACAAGACTGTCAAGTTTTCTCCCTGCTTGACTGAGTTGGTTTATACCAATGAGGGCTATGGAAAAAGAAAATAATTAAATCACCCTTTTACGAGCTCACATGGACCGAGTTAATGTAAAGCCACATTTTAGCCTGGAAACTACAATCCTCTTATGCCCAGCAACACTAACATCACTACATAAGAGTTATTGTCCACGCCCAAGTAGATCCAATAGCAGGATTAGGCCAGAGGAGAACTCCAACTGCCCTAAACAAGGTCACCCGGTTGTTTCATTTGAAGGAGGAGCAGACAAACTTGAAAGTTCACTGTTTCAGGATTTTAATGCACATACACAAACCAGTCTTTTTTCATAGCAGACCTTCCGCAAGCAGAGTGACCGGTTTGCTGAGTGCATCAGTGAAGCTGCTGCCCAACAGCCAGACAGGTGAGGTACAGAGTCACGTTTCAGGTTAGCTCTGTCCCAAATATTTGTAGTTGAATCCACACCTCGAATCTTTAACATGCCAGATCTTAACTTAAGATCTAGGCAAATTTTCAAGTCGAATTAAGAGCACTTGCAGCTGTTCCCCCAGCTATTCCCAGCCCTCCCTAGTATTTTTGAGAGCACTTTAGAGCAGGGAATGTCTCCTGTTGCTATGCAGATGAGCACCGATATAGAAAACACAAAAAGCAGCCATTCTCCCAGTGCTATCCATGACAAAGTATGCAGGGACTTTTTGTCAGACTTTAAGGACTTTTTCCCAACTTTGCTGGGAAAGTATTTTAACTAAACGTGCGACTTTCAAGTGCTCTTTAAAGCCGTAATATGTACATGTCCTATGCTCTGGTCCGAGCCACTCCTTGCTGGCATGACTCAATCCTCATTTTCTGAGTCCACAGAAAAAAAACATTTCCTTTTGGATGCATCTCACCGAGACAACTCAGTTGCTTTGCTCTGATACCGACCTCAAAGGCTGTTAATTGAAGGAAGGAATTAAAATACTTTGCTAAGAATAGCAGGACTCAAAGAACAACATGCTTATACCTTAAGAAATTCCGTTATACAGTCAGTCAACTGCTTGTGCCCTTGGATGTTTAACTCCAGTTCGTAAAATTTAGACACAAGTTTGGACTCCCTGCCACACTGGTTGCAGCTAGGATTAAAAAAAAAAAGACAAAAACACATGAGGACAGTTCACTGGTTCCTGTGTCTGAACTCCCCAGCCCCTAGTAAAATACTCCTTGAGCTATAAAACCAGGAGAAAAAGTTAAGTCAGAGTTAATGCGGATCACACCCCTACACCACAAAAACTCTGCAACAAGGTGTAAACAGGATAATAGCATCTACCAGGAAAAACAGGAGCACCTGCTTGCAACTTGCATACACCATTTTATATCATTTTTGAGGTGACATCCACAGCTCTGAGAATGCAGGAATGAAAATACAACACCCGAGTACACTATTTTCTGGGTGCAGGACTTTACGTTCCATTAACTCACTTGCAGGTTTAATTGGTAAATTTTCATTAAAGGATTAAAAGCAGCTGGAGAACTGCAACACCACCATGTGCACAGAATCAGGAAACCTAAAAGCTAAAAACCTCTCACGAAATGTTTTGGCAGAAGCTTACCTGCCTGTTCCAGTTGTTAGGAGGGATCTTCCCCCCCGGCTCAACTACTTCTAAAATGTTTAAATATTTAATTTACAGAAAGGTTCTTCCCAAAGACCAAATACTTACACCGTGACATAGGCGTACTCTCCACAGAACTGCTTTTGCACTATGTTTCGAACATCTGGGTTTTTTTGTTTGGATAAAGTGTCTTCCAGCAGTGACATGAACAGCTTTGAAAACTCCTGGGCATCCTAGAAGAGAAAGCCAAGTCCATTAACAATACACCACAGCACAAAGCCCAATCACAACCTTGTCACTAATTTACGGCAAATTACTCAGAGCCCTACACACAGGCTGCACAGAGACTCCAGTGTGTACTGAATAGAAAAAAGACCAGTCGGCAGAACTAAAGAAAAAGAGGAATTTGTCTAAAAGGAGCGCGAGGCCACCAGCGTGAGACCACGGCGTGAGTTAACTTGGCTCCCGGCCAGCCGCACCGGGTGGTTTGACTTCTGCCCCGCTCCTTGCAGGGCTCTGGAAGGAAAAAAAACCTCCTGCAGAGCTTTCTATCCCATTAATGCTCATTTTTCAAAGCTCGGCATGCAATACAAGCTGTCCCTGCTTGCATTGTAGGTGAGAAGAAAAATAAAAACACCCCAAAAATAAGAAGCTGCCCTGTAGATTCATCCCTTCCTGCCAGGCTTGGGAGCTTCCCCACACTCATCTCAGGGCCTTCCTCTCCCACCCTGGCTCTCCTTTGCTCTCCCCTATGGAAAACAAAAGGGCTTTGGCTCCTCCCAGCTGTCCTTTAGTATCCCTGGTCGGTAGTGACTGCTTCCTTCCCCTCCCGCATCCTACTGAGGAAACGCACGCCGGCGCTCGGGCTCTTCCTCTTCCCAAAGTGCATTTTCAAGCCGTGCCCTTCTCCTGAGCCAGCTTTGGCAAAAGCCCCACAGGATCTGTCTGTGGCACTCACCCCTCTCTAACCATGCTTTCTCTGCCTCGCATGCTCACATTGGACCTTGGCTGGCTCCTGGTGACCCGACCAAATGCCTTCTTGCCCTGTGAGGGCCCTTCAACCCCTGCTGCACTACCTACCCGGGAGGAGCAGCCCATAAAGCACCTGCAAAAAGACCCTCACAGCAGCTTCAGCTCCCACCCCACACAGTGCTGGGGTCGATCAGGCACTAACAAAGCTCCTTGTCCCCATCCCATCACTCCCTGGGCTCCTCCTGATCTCCCACACCGATGGGAAGGGCCCAGAGCACCGCTTCTCCCTTTGTGTTTGTACCAAGCAGCAGAACCCAGCTTGGAGATGCTAAAATAACATAAAATGGCAGTTTCATGCTGCTTTAAAGAGGATAATTACTTGAGGGGCATGCCTCAAACCTACCTGCTGCTGTCCCGTGTCCAAGCCCAGCGCTTTAACGAAGCCAGAGGGATCAATGTATCGCCTTTTGCTGTTCTGCAGCAAGGCGAACAAGTACTGAAGGTGTTCACAAATGGTCTGAGGCTCATAGTCTATTAAAAACAACAAGTTGCACAAGTTACAGCAAGTCATTCAAGGCAAGAGATAATTGTTCCAAGTAATTTGCTTGTTCTTTCTTTGTACGGGTAAATTTAATGATTAGAAATGATATGATTTTTAAAAGCTGTTTTAAATTATCATGAGAACCAAAGCGGTTCATGTCTCTGATGAGAGCGAAGTCCCAGTGTGGGCCAGGTATCATGGAATCAGTCAGGTTGGAAAAGACCCTAAAAATCAAGTCCAACCATAAACATCCCACAATGCCTAGTGCAAGCTGTGAGCGAACAGTTTAAGCAGTGTGCGCTGATTACCCTGTAGCAACAGCTTCTTTTTTACCCTAAATGGTGAGACATCATTTAAAAATGCCATAAAAACAGGAACAGAAGTAATCAGGAAGCTGCCTGACCCAGAGTGCACCTATAGCAACATACCATACATGAAGGTATGTCACCTGAGCCTGTCGCATCTGCTGTGAGGGCACTGGGAGTCTCATTTGTATCGGGGACCTAAATTTTCGCCCTCCCATGGGACAAGTGCAGCTCCACGGTAGTGCAGATCAGCCCCAACCCACGTGCTTCCACCCCCAGCACCATAATTAAGCTGGGAAACAGTGTGGGAAGCAGCCCGGCGAGAAATGAACCCAAATCTGATTTTTCAACCAGATCGGGATCACTCTGATTTAAGAAATAACTTGAGTAAAGGACAGTTTATTCCTAAAAGCCAGGTGATAGACTCAAAAACAATGGTATGGAGATTGGACAAGTGGTTGGAGCTTCACCTATAGATTCTCCCAATAAATGTTATCCCAAAGCCGACGCCAGCGTGTAAAATTTTAGGAGAAAACGAGCAAAACCATTCCCGTTCACAGCAGATGACCTTCCACCCACCTTTGTCTTTCGGGATGCCCTCTCCGGCCACATACTCGCTGCAGGTGCTGGGACACAAATAGAGAGCTTGCCGGAGCTCCAAGTTAAGAAACCACATCTGCAAGAAAGTGTTCACGTAGCACGTGGCGCCGAGGTTCGTTAAGCCCACAAATGCATTCTGGTGTAAGAGAGAAAGCAACAGTCATCACTCGCCACTGCAGAGGAGCAAGCAGAAATCCAGCAGTTGGAGCAGCCACTTTACGGCTGTTTGTTGGGAAAACACCGCTCCGGCATCGTACAAACAGCCGCATCCCAAATTCCCGGGCTACACAGGGACATGAGGTGTCACCTCCCCTTGTCCCCATCATCCCTGGGGGACCAGGAAGGGCAGAGGATGATTTTTGGGAGAGAGGGGACTACCTTCTTGCGACGCTCGCAGTTGGGGTCATCGATGTTGTGGAAGCTGTTCTCGTCTATCTCGCCCAGCCAGACGTGCTCCCCGATGCCCACCAGGCAGTTGGGGTTCCCCCGGCAGTTCCTCCTGTAGAATCAGCACCCACCCTGTCACCCCTGCAGAAGGGACACTGCTGTCCCTTGGAGGGTGGGTGTGTGACCATGGGGGATAAGAACAACAAGGGGGACCCCATAATGCTAAACAGAGTGAATAAGATGGGACAGGGGTCCCCCACACCCCCTAAAAATGGTGGCTAGGGAAGAACAAGGAAACACCAAGGGATGGAGAACCAGAGGGAAGAAAAAAGGGGGACCCCAGGGAAGAGTACAGGACCTGGGGGGTGGGGGGGTGTCCCTGTATCTGGGGAGCCAGGCAGGGAGAGGGGTCACCCACAACCCTGGGGGGGGTGTCCCTGTGTCTGGGAAGCCAGGCAGGAAGAGGGGTCCCCCACAACCCTGGAGAGGGTCCCTGTATCTGGGAAGCCAAGCAGGGAGAGGGGTCCCCCACAACCCCAGGGAATGGGAGTCCCAAAAAAGGGAAGGGGGGGCAGGGGGGTCCCCATCGACCCTGAGGGACCCAGAAAACCCACAGTGCTTCCCCAACCTCATGGGAGGGAGGAGGAACGTGAAGTTCCCCCCCGCCCCGGGAGGTGAGGAGCCCAGAGAAGGGAAAGGGGGACCACCCAGACCCCACATAAGGGGGGGGAAGGGAGGAAGTTTGGGGTCCCCTGCAGCCCCGAGGGACCAGGTACGGGGCGAGGAGGAAGCAGAGGGCCGCCCCGGGAGGGGAGAGGGCCCGGGGTGGGGGGTCCCGGGCGGTACCGGCAGGCTCCGCGCTGGCAGGGCTCCAGCCCGACGCGGTAGGCCGCTTCGATGTGCTCCTGCGCCACCGCCTCGGGCGGCACCGTCTCGGTCCAACGCCACGCCGCCTTCTCCAGCTGCAACCGCGGCGCCATCGCCGCCGACCCCCCCCACCCCCCCCCCCC